TCGGCGTGCGACGGCAGCTTGGCCTTGAAGCCATCGAGAATCGACACGACCGTCGCCATGTTGAAGGGCACCGCCTTGTCCGACGCCCGGAACGCCGTCTTGAGCGCAAAGATATCGTCGTAGACAGCGCCCGGCATGCGGCCCGCGAGCGACGAGAGCACTTCGCCGAGCTCGTCGACCGGCAACAGCGGGTCGTCCAGAGCGCAAAAGAGGTCGGCAAGCGCCTTGGCGACGAGGTCCTGCGGCACCACATAGCCCTCGAGGAGCGTCCCGACGACCTCCATGGCCTTCTTGAGCACAAAGATCGACTTGGCGCTGGCGAATTCCGGGTCGTTCGAGAACGCTGGGAGCTTCCCGCGGAAGATGTCGGAGAGCTTGACGCACGACGGGTCGTCCAGCTCCATGGTCGCAATGAGGTCGCCGGGCGCGAGGACTGAGCCTTCGGGCTTGACGTGGCGCACGACGCCATCCTCCGGCGTCAGCAGCGGCATGTACATCTTCATGACTTCGACTTCGGCGTACGGCGTGCCGCGGCGGAGCTTGGCGCCGTCCTTGGCGAGGTACCGCGCGAGCTTGCCGGCCGCGTTGGTCACGAGGCGCGTCGGGTCGTACTCGTTGGTGAAGACGCACGTGTTGCCGTCGACGATGAGGCGGAGGCCTTGCGCTTCTTTGGTCGCGTACGCGACATGGCTCTTCCCGTTCAAGAGCACGAGGAACCCGCCGTCCGAGAGCGTGCGGATGTTGGCCTGCACGTACGAGTCGTTGCAGCTCAGCGTGAACGTGATCGCGCCCGACCGCGCGGCCTGGATCTGGTACTTGACGCCTTCGTAGATGAGCTCGAGCGCATCTTCCTGCGTCAGCAGCTCGGGCGCCGGGATCTGACCGCGCTCGAGCTGCGCGACGTACGCTTCCATGCGCGCCGCCGACGCTTGGTACGCGAGGCACATGGCGCCGACGAGGACGACCATGAGCGTGTCCGGGCGGCCCTGGAGGCTCACTTCCTTATGGCGCGCAATGCGCTCGTCCAGCCACGAGGTCGAGATGCGGTTGGCCTTGAAGTCGTCGGCCTCGATCATCTGCACGAGGTACTCGACCGTCGTGTTGATCTCACCGCGGATCGAGAGCTCCTTGAGCGCGAGCACGAGGTTCTTGCGCGCGCGCTCCCGCGACGTGCTCCACGAAAACAAGTGGCCGATCTGCGAGTCGGCGTACTCGTGGACGCGGCCGGACGAGTCGACCGAGAAGTAGCCCCACACGTCGGGCGTCGACCGGAAGTTGAGCTCTTCAATCGCTCCGGACGTCGGCTGGAAACCCGCGTTCGGGTCCTCGGCGGTGATGCGCGCGGCAATGACGTGGCCGTGCGGCGGCAGCTGCTTCTCCTTCTCAAAGTCGATGGGCGACTTGCCATGCGAGTCCTTGTTGTAGAGGCGACGCACGTCCGGGATCATGTGCAACGGAATGCCCATGGCCACTTGGAGCTGGCACGCCGGCAAGTTGACGCCCGTGATCATCTCCGTCACCGGGTGCTCGACCTGGAGACGCGGGTTGAGCTCGAGGAAGAAAAAGTTGTTGCCGTCGGCGTCCGGCGTCTCGGTGAAGAGGTACTCGACCGTACCGGCGTTGACGTAGTCGACTTCCTTGGCGAGCCGCGTCGCTGCGAGCATCATCTCGTCCCAGACCGCCTCGGTCGGCGCGAGCACCGGGCCTTCTTCAATGATCTTTTGGTGGCGGCGCTGCACCGAGCAGTCGCGACCCGAGAGCGCGATCGCATTGCCGTACTCGTCCGCGAGCAGCTGGACTTCAAGATGGCGCGACTTCGGCGCGAGCTTCATGACAAAGATCGGCGACCCGGGGATCTCGCCCTGCACGGCCGTGTAGCCGGCGACCACGTCTTCCGGCCGCGTGATCTTGCGGATACCCTTGCCGCCGCCGCCCTCGCTGGCCTTGATCATGACGGGGAAGCCAATGCGCGCGCACTGCTCGACGCAGTGGTCGACGTCCTTGATCGACGCAGCCTCGTAAATCTCGTCCGGGATCGAGTTGAGCGTCTTGTAGTTGACTGTAATACCATCGCCGTTCCACGAGATGGTCGGGACGCGCGCGCTCTGCGCAATGATCGTCGACCCGATCTTGTCGCCAAGCGCGCGCATCGGCTTGCCCGAGGGCCCGACAAAGAGGATCTTGCGCGCGGTCTTCTCGAGGCTGTCGGGCAAGAGCGGGTTCTCACTGGCATGGCCCCACCCGGCCCAGACAGCATCGACTTCGAAGCGCTCGGCGAGCTCGACGATGAGCATGACGTTGGCGTAGTTGTTGTTGTTGGAGCCGCCGGGCACCTCGACCACGTGCTCGGCCATGCGGATGTACTCGGCGTTGGCGCGCAGATCCTCGGGCGTCGCCATGACGACGAACTGCACCATGCGCTCGTTCCCGAACGTCTCGTACGCCCACTTGCGGACCGAGCGGATGCATTTGACCGCCGAGATACCGTTGTTGGCGATGAGCATCTTCGTGACCGGCCGCTTGCCTTGCATCTCCTCGACGTACTGGGCCATGCTCGTGAAGGTCAGGACGCGGCTGTCGGCGCGGGCCTTGCGCAAGCTCGTGAGTTCGGCGGCCATGCTAAGTCGATTCGTCTGCCACACGCCAAGTTGCTAAATGAGACTTCGACCCTTGGCATGGATTTGTGATGACTATCCGGATACGCGTTTGGTAAACATACTTATTTTCAGTATGTGTATACTAGTTTCCATATCTGGGATCTCCAACGGGGTAGGGGCTTTTCAGCCAATCACAAAATTCGATCCGCGTCAAAAGGGGTCCCGGGGCGGCGCACCAACTTTGACGTCATCTTTTTGGCCAATCAGATGCGAGACGGGGTAGGGGACTGCGGAACGTCATCGGCCACCTGCGCTTGACGGGAACGGCAGCCGGTATACATTCCTGCAGTGCTTTCACATGGAGCTTGCCGAGCCCCCGCAAGCAGATATTGCGCCACAAGCAGCAGCAGACGACCATCGTGTCGACGCCGACGGCGAATGATGCGAGACCATCTTGGTCTTAAAGCGGTTTTATAAAGGTTTTATTGCGTGGACTGATGCGAAAAGTGCACTAGACAACGTTCAATGGGTCACCGTGCGTAGCTCCATCCTGTAAACTAGCTGCATATAGACGCAGCGACGTAGGACAAAGAACACGTGCTGCGCCTTCTTCCTATAGCTGGATGGATACGTGGGCTTCGCCTCTCGTCGTTTGCGGCTTTGAGAATCTCGCGAGTGCATCAAGAAAGGCAGCCGCCCTCTCCGACCAGACGCCCCGATGGCTCCATGCAGGGAATCTTGGCGTACGACGATGACGACGAGCCGACTCGTTGGTGGAGCATCTACGTAGGGGACGCGTTCCGCCACATCACATTGGGTCGTCGTCGCCCAATGGCCGTGTGCCAGGTATCCGGCGCGGCGTGTGATTGGTGCATTGGCATGAAATGATGACGTAGGCCCGTGCACCCGTGGGTGTCCGTTCCCGTCCAGTAAGATGCGAGCATTATGGCATGTCACAGTGGGCCACAAGGAGATGGCGATGGAATCTTCGCTCGGCCCCTGCAGCCGCCGGGTCTCTGGCGCCAGTTGGCGGTGGATGGCCACGAAGCCCGCTACAAAACGCAGAGTGCGCTCGTTTTATGCAACCACGGACGCCCCCGTGCAACTTACCACAAGGCGATTGACGTCCGACCCTCCCAAGCTGCTGAGCCGGGGGAAGTGCAAGGGTGAACCGAGGCCGCCTGTCCTGTACGAGGCGGCGGCGAGAAGGGCCTGTCGCTGTCGTCTTGTCTACCGACCAGAGTTGTCCTTGCCCATGCGCGATGCCGTTGACGTCGAGGGAGAGAGATGCATACGAAAGGTATGGCATTTGCCAAGCCGTGGGGAGCCAAGAGGACCGAATCGCAAGCAGGCGATGGAGACGGAGATGGTTTGGGACATCTTGGAGGCTGCTGCAAGCAACGCTCATCGCTAGTGCGAAGGCTGTCGCGCGTGACCTGGGTATGTAGCAAGCGCGTTCAAAGGTTCTTGGTTTCGTCAACACGGATGCACTTGCTGCTCCTAACGCAATCAACGACGAATGCCATCTTCATGTCATGCATGAGGCTCGACACGCGTGTATGCGTCTCGAATTGGCTGTGTGAACGTTAGCTAGAGTCCCTGTACACTTGAGATGGGCTACGTCTCGTACAAGGGATTCATTCTACAAGTGAAGACGCTCGAAGCCCAAGGGTCGTCACTGGTTAACAGGCTGCCATGCCAACTTCCTGTCTGCAAGAAAGGTGCGATAGCGTGAGCATAGCACCCTAGCTGTCGTAGCCGAGGAGAGCGTCTCGAGCTAGGACGCTTCCTCTTCTTGCGTAGGCCGCGTGGGCAGGCTAGGACAGCGGCGTCGGTCGTAACGACCGCGATCGGACCACTCGCCTCTTCTGGCGTCAGACACATATCACCTCGTGGGCTGCTGTATGATGCTACACATCACCTCGAATGCTGCCGCAGCCGTGCCATGGTCCTGCTCGACGGCTCTCGGCAGCGAACTATGCATGCGACCAGCTTGGTACGCACGTGGGGTACTGAGCTCGCCTCTTGATGCGGAGCACCATGGCTCGAATGGCCACCGGTGGGCACGCTAGCTGGCGCCGGTCGTGCATCGCCAACGTTTACATCGCACCTCGTCGTCGTCGTCAACGCCAACGTGCCGGCCGTGGGTCGCCGCCGTGGACTCTCGTCCAGCCCGCTGCTGCCGGGTGCTGGGATTCACGCCGGTCCCGATGCGTGGATCACGTAGCTTAATTTGGTGTTTGTATGCCAAAGTCTAAATGGACGCCATTTTTAACTATGTCCAAAGCAAGTAGAAACGCAATTTCGAGACGATGGTCGACGTCCTCTCGTGGGTCTTCCTCCCCGGCATTGGGCTCTTCCTCGGCCTAAGCATCTGCACCTTCGTCGCTCTCCGCGGCGAGTCGCGCCATGCTGCCGGCGCCATGGAGCTCGAGATGGGCGAGATCTCGGCCGGCGCCGAGACGCGGAAGCGCTTCTTCGTGCTGCTCCTCATCGCAGCCAGCGCCCGCCTCGTGAGCTTGAGCGTCGACCTCGTTGCCCTCTCGCTCTCGCCCGGCGACTCGGACCTCGCCTTTCTTCCGCGCAAGAACACGACCAACGCCAGCATTGCGTGGGTGGTACGTTCCTCCTGCACCTGGCTCCTAGATTGGCTCATGATGGATCGTCTAGTCGTCGATCTTCTCGCTGCTCCCGTGTCTCTTCTTCGTCTCGACGTACTCGCTACTCATCTTGTTCTACGCGCAGCTGTGCACGGCCTGCTACGGCCTCAGCTTTCCGCTCCACAAGGCCGCGTACTTTGCCTGCAATCTCCTCCTCTACGTCGGCTTTGTCGTGCTCATGTTTGCGACCCACTCGACCGGGAGCTTCTGGAAGTGGACGCAAGGCGGTCTTGGCTGCTTCTACATTTGCGGCTTCCTCGCGATCCTCTACTACAGCGGCCGCCTCGTCGTCTTCTTCAGGTCGACGCATGTCGAGGACGACTTTTTCTTCGATATGGACGTCTCGATGCACGCGTCGTTCCGCGGCCTCACGCCCCGCCAGATCGTCGTCCGCCGGGTACTCTTGCTCCATACTGCAGCTCGTCATGCTGAATATCGAGCTAGATCATGCTCATCTGCGCCATGTGCTGCGCGCTCTTCCTCGGGCTCGGCGTCTACCTCCTCTGCATGGCGACGGCCGCGATCCCGTCGTGGCACGACCAGTACCGGACGCCGGCGGGCCTCGACCCGTACATCTTTGAGCTCGGCGTGTACATTCTGACCGAGTTCCTTCCGTGCGCCCTCCTCTTGTACTTTACGCATCGCACGGCGTCGGCGACGTCGACGACCGCGCGTAGCGGGAAGGACGCGATGCTCGACGAAACGCACACGCTCCTTCGCGCCGACGACGCGCCGTACCATTACCAGGTAGTACGTGTGCCCAGTTGTGGTGGATGCTGAGATGAATCTGGTTCTGATCCAATGGCGACTAGACGACACCGATGACAGCAACGAACCCCGCCGCCGCCGGAGTCCCGCCGCGCCCGTACCTCCCGCGCAACAACAGCAGCGGCACGTTCGAGCGGTCGCCCATGGGCAGCAGCTCGTCCTTTGCCTGATAATGTCGGACCAAGAGAACTCTGTCATCCTACCATTAGCATGCTTCGGACATCCTAGCCGGCTTGGATCATCTACTGCATGCTGGTTGATGCGATGGGATGATGACGTGGAAGCAGCATGTGGCAGTATTTTTTGGAGGTCAGGAATTCAGTGTCGTGGAGCAATCAGCTGGAGCAATCCCAGTTCAGCAAGAGCCGCTGCCTGCATTGCAGTTGTCACGATCAGGCCGGGCACTGGTCAGCAGTAGAAGGTGGTGTCGGCGCGTCTAGAGAGCATGCCTCGTCGTAGAGTCGCACCAGACTATACCAGACTATACCAGACTCGAAGCACAAACAGTACTGGGCTGCTGGTCGTCGTAGCGGCCGCTCGCCGTCCGTGCAGTTCTTGACCTCCTGTCTATGCCCATCGCGTTGGGACACGGGGAGTTTGTATGGCGGCGGTCAGTCCTCCGCAATGTGGGACCAGATGGTCGGCGTCGCTGGCTTTCACTCAGCACTCATTTCTTATCTCCGATTATGAAGACGACGACGCCGCTGATCTTTGCGCTGGCATGCTGCGTCCAGTACGGCGCGAGCCAAGACGCGCTGCAGTACGACTGCGACCAAGGCTCGGTCGCGCTCGGCTTTGGCCCGATCATTGGCAACCTCAACGACTGCGCGGATGCGTCGGGCTACAAGTTTGTGCCGGTGCCCAAGACCCGCCCGACCCAAGAGCAGCTCAGTGCGTTCTGCTCCGTGCCCGCCTGCGCAAGCGTGGCCCAAAAGTACACCTCGATCCGCCTGCCGGCGTGCGCGTTCGACCTCGACGGCCAGCGCGTTATCGCCAAGGACTTCTTCAGCACGCTCTGCACGCAGTACGCCAACCTGACGGCCCCGCCGACAGTGGCGCCAACGCCCGCACCCGTGACGTCGACCAAGGCGCCGGCGGCCGGTGGCTCGACGACGACGACGACGTCGGCCGCGACGACTGCGTCGGTCGTGTCGGTGGTCTCGGCGGCGCTGTTTGCGGCCCTTCTGTAGATACGGACTCGCTTCGGTTCATGTGTAGCGTGATACTCCATACTAAACTAGAAGAGGACCTTTAACATAAATATAGCAACATGACCTCGGCTTACAAATCGTCGTTCGTATCCTCGCCGTCTACTTAGTCGTCGTCGGCGCGGTGCTGGCCTCGCTCTTCGACGCCTGCTGCGCGAGGAGCTTGGCCAAGAACGAGCCGTCGTTCGGGATCTCGGGCACGCCGCCCGGCATGACGTCGGGCGTCACGTCCAGCGGCTCGTCCTTTTTGGCGTCGGCGCCCATCATCTTCTTCACCTTGGCGTTCTCTTGCTTTCGGCGGCGCTTGGATGCTTTCTGGCGTGTCTTCTCTTCCAGCTCGGCCTGCGCGCGCTTGCGCTTCTCCTGGAAGGCCAAGTCTTCTACCGTCTTCTTGTGCTCGGCTTCCATAGCACCGACGCGCTCCATCTCGCGGCGCCGGGCCGCGCGGTACATGTGGAACTCGCCGCTGCCGGCGCCGGCGGTACTGCCAGCGACATTGTCGACGCGGTTGAACTTGAAGCGCTCCTTGGACTCCTTGGACGCTTCGGCCGGCGCGGGCGTCGCCTCTTCCTTCTCCTTGACGACCTCGTACGGGACGGTCCCGACCGTCGCCGCCTTGTCCGTGTACGTCTGCTCGGTCGTGTAGCGCCCCATGTGACTGGTGTCTCCGTGCGAAATAAAATGCTACGGGTTCGGCGCCGGTAGTATCCGGATCAGAATGTAGGTATTCTAGCTGCATTCAAAATGAGAGGTTCGACTAAACGCGGCAGATGCCACCGACTAAACCCAACGGCGTTGGTCGAAACGGTTGCACGGCGCGCTGCCGTCTGAGCCACCCGTTGGCGATCAGTGCACAACGACCACGCTGTGTGCTTGCTATTCGTATACACGATGGTATCTATTCCAAGCACGATGAAACTCCTGCACCGTCGCGCCCGTCGAACTCGCGGGTGGTATTTTCGGCACCGAAACGACCGCTCGACACGAGCTGTGTAACGGTGCGAGCCAGCGCGAACCCCACCCGCGACAGCCTCAGCATCAACGTTTCGCGTGGCTCGCCCCTACGCCCACCTCTCTCTCGTCTCGAGAACCGTTGCCATGTTGGTGGCCTCTCGCCATGTCGTTCGAGTCGTCGACTAACTAAATGACGCGAACCGTGCGCCGGGACAACTTCAACGAAAGGGCGCCCGTGTGAAACTGAAAAAAGAACGACGAAGTGGCGGAAACGGCTCAAAAATTCAACCGCCCCACGCCCATATATAAAACTTGATATAATAAAAATCCACGCCAAGTCCACCGACTACAATCGCATTTGCATACAAACGCCAAGTCATAAAATACCACCTTGAAGCCCGCCGCGCGGGGATTAAAATACACACATTCTTTAATAATTCTCGCCACCCCACGTTTCGCCCTTCTCTTGCTTTTTGTATAGACCCGGATAAGTGCGCTTTGAACCTCTCGGCAATTGTATGCATCCGATCAAGTGCGACGCCACTGACGACTGCGAATCTCGCGGCGTTTTCGAGAACAAGCACGCTGTATACATGGACTTTGATTTGAAGTTTGTATGGGTGCGAAATCCGCGATCGCGATTGGCCAAAATCAGAGGTGGGGCGGGGTCGAGCTATTATTATAAATCGGGCTCAGTCCCGAATTTGCCGTCTCCGCCCCACTTCGACTACCCCGTACTACTAACTAGCACCATGGACCGTGATTCGCTCGTCTTCCTTGCCAAGCTCGCCGAACAGGCCGAGCGCTACGACGAGATGGTCGACCACATGAAGGCCGTCGCCAACAACCACAACGTGGAGCTCTCGGTCGAGGAGCGCAACCTCCTCTCGGTCGCGTACAAGAACGTGATCGGCTCGCGCCGTGCCAGCTGGCGCGTGATCTCGTCGATCGAGAACAAGGGCGACGTCGAGCGCGCCGAGCACATCAAGAACTACCGCCTCAAGATCGAGGCCGAGCTCGTCAACATTTGCAACGACATTTTGCAGATCATTGAGAGCAACTTGATCCCGAACTCGTCGAGCGAGGAAGGCAAGGTGTTTTACTACAAGATGAAGGGCGACTACCACCGGTACCTCGCCGAATTCCAGGTCGACGACGAGCGCAAGGAGAGCTCGGACAAGGCCCTCGACAGCTACAAGCAGGCGTCGACGATCGCGATGGCCGAGCTCCCGCCCACGCACCCGATCCGCCTCGGCCTCGCGCTCAACTTTTCGGTGTTTTACTACGAAATCCTCAACTCGCCGGACCGTGCTTGCAACCTCGCCAAGCAGGCGTTCGACGATGCGATTGCCGAGCTCGACACGCTCTCGGAAGAGTCGTACAAGGACTCGACCTTGATCATGCAGCTCCTCCGCGACAACCTTACGCTGTGGACGTCGGACCAGGAACCCGACAACGCTGACGCCAACCAGGGCGACATGAACGTCCAGGACGTCGAGTAAACGAACTCGGATTAGGCCTCGAATTCTATCTCTTAGATAAAACTACTATCAAAAAACCTATTTTACGCTACCTGTGTCCCTGCGCCATGCCGGCTGGCAACGACGACGAGGTCGATGTGCTGGACTCGAGGCGACGCATCCCAGCCCCACGCCACCCACGTCGGCCGTGTCCATGTCACGGCGACTGACGACGCCTCATGTCCATGCACCCTTGCCCATCGTCCACGCCGTGTCATCATGGCACGACGACGAGATCGTCGCCATGGCAAAGTCGACCCGACGCCAGGCCATGCTTGCCGTCGCAGCATCGACACAATCTTGCCAGCTACCAGAACCAGAAGCAATAACCAGCTTGGTAGATACAACCAGAACCAGAAGCAAGTCCAATAACTTAGGAATATCGAGGCTATTGCCCGAGGCCGTCGTAGGCGGTGAGGCCGTGCATATTTGGCAGGTCGTCGCGGCCGCCGCCCTTGTCCGGGTCGAGGAGCCACGCGCCAAGGTCAAAGAAGTTGTACGCCATAGCGTAGTGGCCGGCGGTCTGGCCTTGGTGGTTCTGGTGGTTGGGGTTCGCGCCCTTGGAGACGAGGAACTGCGCCACCTTGAGCCCGTTGTTTTGGGCGGCGAGCATGAGAAGCGTATTCCCATGCTCGTCGCTCAAGTTCACATGGAACGCGAGGCGCGCGAGGCTGTCGTCGTAGATCGTCCCGGCGCCGAGGACGCACTGCGTTTTGACGCTGAGCTTGTCAAAGGGCACGTCGGGCCAGCGCGCCAATGCCTCTTTGAGCGCTTTCAGCTTGCCGTTGCGCGCCATGGAGCAGAGCTCGTCGAATTGCACTGCGAGCTTGGGCAGCCCAGGGTCCACGTCCGCCGGTGCGAGCACTGGGGGTGCAGCCGTCGTCGTTGATGCGACTGGAGCGCTCGCCACGGTTGGTGCTGCGTCGGGCAATGCGGACGGAGCCGGTGACTCGGCGGCGTACAAGCGCTCCTTGGTCTTGCCCTCGGCCGCTTTGAGTCGGTCGACGGCCTGGAGGATCTTTTTTCGGTGAAGATCGTGCTCGATACCGAGCGAGTAGCGCAGGTCCTACACGAGAGCGCTGCCAGATCGAATGAAAAGACGTCGTATACGTGGTCGTTGAGGTCGTAGAGCAGGGCGCCGTCGACCGTGCCATCGGTGAACGCTTGCTTGTACGTGCCGAGCGCCATCGTATCGAGCCAGCGACCGACGTCGAGGACGCTCCACGCGCTCACGAGCAGCGGCTGCTGCCCTGGGAAGCTACCGGGCGGCGCGCTCGCTTGGAACGGCGACGGCGCGCCAAGCATCGACGTGGGATTCGCTTGGGAATGGATGGCCGCCGCGCTCTCGAGGAACGTGTGGTGCGCGCCAATGTGCCGCATGGCTTTGATCATGTTCATGCTGCTAAAGTACGTCATGGACATGGACATGAAGCCAAACTTCATCATGGTCTCGGTCGATTCCATGAGTGCGTTGGCTTCCTGGCGCTGCTCCGGGCTCACAGTTGACGCGGGGCCGGCGACCGGGCAGGCGCCATCGGCGCCCAAGGGCCCTGGCTCGGTCACGCCACCCGCAATGTCGACAAGCACTTGTGATCGCTTCGCCTGCTTGGCTTTGATGCCTGTGTGTCGATCAATACATAGGTCTCGAATGCTACGGTACCTTGCAGCTGTTTTTGCTGGTCTTCAAGAAGCAGGAGCAGCTTGCGCTCGAGGCCACGCAGGTCCTCTTCCTTCGCATGGCGCGCTTGGTCGAGCGACGTGAGCGACGCGCCGAGGACGACGAGCTTCTCGCGGCGGTCCGCAATCTTCTTGAGCATGTGACCAAACTCGCGGTCGAGGCGCATCTTTTGCTCACGGAGCTGCCACTTGGCTTGCTCGTCGAGCACACCGGTCGCTTCGGTCTCAATCTTGCTAAGGGCATGCATCTCCGTCTCGAGGACGTGGACACCTTCTTCAAACTCAGAGATCTCCTTTAGCAGCGCATCAACCGCCGCTTCGGTCCGGCCTTTCTCATCCAGAAGCAGTTGGACTTCGCTCTGGAGACGCGTGCCATAGAGCTTGTACTCGAGCAGCATTTGCTTGCCAAAGTCAATGTTCTGCGACTGCGCTTTCGAGTAGAGGTACTTGTCCTTCTCTGCGGCGAATCGCTTGCGCCCGAGCCGGCCACGGTAGATGCGCTACGACCACACGTTAGCCATTTTCAAAACGAGCAAACGAACCTGAATCGCCATGGCCGACGTGCGCTCGAGACGCCGGCGCTGCGCAATCTTGATCGCATACAGCCGGCGAAACAGCGACTGCATGATGCACGCGGAGGCATACCGACGTGCGCGCAGGCGACGCACGCGGCGACGGCCGAGGAAGCCGCGCGCGATCGCTTGGATCGCGATTGCACTCGCACGCTGCAGCTTTCGAAGGGCGTACACATCCCGCCCTGCCTTGCCCCGCCACGCGCGCTGGACGAGTCGGACCGCCCAGTCTTCCTTGCGTCGAATGGCGGCTAGCACCCGGCCTTTGCTGCCGCGGTAGATGCGTTGAATGCGAAGCGCGGCCTTGTGCTGGGCGACGCGGCGCGCGAGGGTCCGCGCCCGGTACGCATGGTACGCTCTTTGGATCGACCGCGCGGCGCGGTCCATCCGCGTGAGCCGTGTCGCATTGCGCTGGACGCGCCAGTTCATGTACTCTTTGACGTCCTTGCGGTTGCTTGGGTAGATGCGGCTACCGTCGCCAGCCTTGTAAATGCGGTTGGTCTCGCGCTCAAACGCAGGGGCCGTCGGATCGAACGTCAGGTCGAGAAGCGCACTTGGTGCGAGCTTCGAACCCGCCTTGGCACTGAGTTTTGATTGCATCGACTTTGCGTGGGCCTCTTGGTACGCCGTCCACGACGCATCGCCAACGTGGTGCGCGGCCTTGACGTCGCTCATGGTGCCCATGATCTTGTTGATAAAATGGTCTTCGTAGCTCTGCGGCACATGCGCGGATTTCGACATTGCACTTGAGGTTGCACTTGAGATTGCACTTGACGTTGACGTTGAGGTGGATGTGGCCGGCAAGATCGTGTCGTGCGTCTCGTGAAAGCCCGTGATGAGCTGCTCGATGAACGTGGCCATCGCTGGCTTGCACTCTTGCCACACTTCGTGCCCGGCGTCGAGCCAGACGACACACGCCTTGGAGCGCCGGTGGACGAGCGCCTTGTGAATCGAGTCGACGAGCCCACCGCGCGCGGCCACGCACGTCTCGACGTGCTTGGGCTGCACGAGGCCGTCATGGGCGCCCGCGACAAAGATCGTGGGCACATTGATCTTCTTGAGGGCGTCGCGCATGTCAGTGTGGCTCAGCGCGCCCAAGCAGAGCGCAACACGACCTTCGAGCGAGATCGAGTTGCTCACAGCCGTGTACAAGTTGAGAGCGAGCGGTGTCGAGACGGTCGCCAAGTACGCACCAGAGAAGAGAAACCGGGCGTGAAAGTACACCGGTAGGTCCGGCCGCGTCGCCGGCGAGCAAGCAAACACCTTGAGGGCGTCGTGGAAGAAGGCAGCGAGCGTCGGGTCGACGTGGGCAAAGCCGTTGACACTGACGAGGGCGCGAAGCTGCGGCGACGGCGAGAGTGCGCAGTACTGGATCGCAATCGGAACGCCGTTGCCGTACCCGAGCAGCAGGAAAGGCGCGGCTTTGAACTCGCCGAGAATCTCGGGTCCCACTAGAAAGAGATCGACTAATGTGAAAATGGCGGAAACATGTACCGTGGCGAAGCAGCGCTTGGAGGCATGTCGCCAAGTAGACGTTGTTGAGCACGACGCCGGGGCGCCACGTTGTACTTGCTTGGCCGGGGTAGTTCCACAAGAGGACCTGTGCGGCTTCGTACCGGCGCAAAATTGGCGCCAGAAAGATCTGCAGACGCTCCAGCGTATCAAAGACGTCGTGGACGACCACGAGGTTGAAGAGCGTTGAGAGCGCAGCGCTCGGCCGATTCAAAATCAGAAATGGCATGGCCGTGTCGACGTCCATTTGGAAGATACCGGCAAACGTCCGAGCGTCGGTGGCCGACGGCACCGGGAACGGATGCACCGACGCGACTGTCGAGCTTCGTTTGGTTGGGCGTCGGCGCTTGGACTCGGCAACGATGCTCGTCTTCGCACCGGCCACGAGCGCGTGCAGTGTGGGGGCCGGCGCCGGTGGCTTTGGTATCGACGCAATCGCTGCGTCAACCGTTTGGCGCAGCGCCGAGAGATCGAGCGGCAAACTGAGGCACCCGTCCATGCCCACGTCCATGTAGGCGCGGAGGTCTTCTGGTGACGTGTGCTCGGTGACGCATACGACCGGCGACCGCCGCACGGGCGCATGTAGTGCAATGCTGTGCTGGATCTCATGCTGCCGAAGGAGCTTCGTAAACTCGAGTGCGTGCATACTCGGAGCGTCGCGGTGGCAGAGAATGACGTCGAAATGGCGGACTTGGGCTTCCTTGAGGCCCTACAATGTGCTACATAAGGTGTTTTGGCTGTGGCAACTGCGTACGAGCGCGCCGTCGCACAGCGCTTGCACGTCGTACGCGTCGAGCGCGTCCAAAATGCACTGAATGCGATCTTGGTCCGCGTCGATGAGCAAGATAGAGGGACCAGTATTGGCGGTGACGGCGACGGGCGCCGACTTCAGGGGAAGACCACCAGGAAACAAGGTGTTTTCACGGAGCGGTTTGTGCTTGCGCCGCCGGTCCTTCCCGCGCAAGTAGCCATCGAGACCGACAAAGTCCTACGCAAAGACGGTCGACTATCAACGCGGTCGGAAGCAAGGTACCTCGAACGACTTGGTGACGTCGGCTTGATCTTTGGATGGGTGCCACGGCTTGGGCTTTGTGGGCGATAATTTCGGCAGCGCTTTTCCCAGCTGCGGCATGCTTGCACTCGTTCGAAGCGCAGAGTCGACTACACTCCAACTATTGCGCCACCGTCATTTGATGGTGCATTTTGTACCTGTCCGGGGACTCGAGGACGGTAGTCGAGGGAGCTTGGGGTTGTTGTCGTGGCCGGTGACGCGCCCGCGTTTCTCAACGTCGTCATGGCTTGGAGATACCTCGTTGTGGTTGTTGTTGGTGGACGCAAGAGCGTCCAAGAGCGGTCTACTCCGTTACTCTAGTTTACATTAAGATCGCAGAACCGCACCGTGCAGCGTCGAGGAGGGAGTAGACGGCAAAGCAGTGGCGGCAGACTTTGACTTGGCGGTAGTAATTCGCCGTGCCGCCGTCGAGCTCGCCGTAGAGTTTGCTCAGGTTCGCTCGCATCGATGTCGCGGCCGTCGGTGCCAAGTAGGCTTTTGAGCGCCCGCTCGGCGCCGGCACCGTCGTTGCCGCCAAAAGGCGCTGCTTGTTGGTCTTGGCCAGCGCGATCGACTTGTATGTGAGCGTAAACTCCAAGCGGTCGGGCGCTGCGTTGGCGAGCTGCCGCACCGAGTTGCCGTGGAGCTCGTGGAGCTTTGCGTACCCGAGCGCGGCGACGGCCTCGGGCGCAAAGAGCGCGTGCGCGTTCCGGCGAGAGGTCGGGAGACCGTTGACCTCGACGTCCGCGATGAGAGGCGCAGGCGACGCGAGGTCGTAGGCGCAAAAGTCCCCGCTGCACTTGAACGGCGTCGGAAACACCCGGGGTGGCTCGCTCGGCGTCGAGAGTTTGAGACTAAAGTGTGTCGCCGGTGTCAGCGCGCGGTCGATGGCATCCTCGGCTTGGTCAAACACAGCTTCTTGGCCCGTGCGACCGAGCGCGTCATGGGGCTCATCGACGTCGATGGAATGGTCGCTGCCAACTCGTCGATTCGTCCGGACGTAGCTCACGGACGGGATCCACGCCAGCCAGATCTAATGCCGTGCATCTTGGCTGCTCTCGTATGCGGCGACTCTACCTGGTCGTCGTCGTCCAAGAGGTAGTCGGCAGTGAGCTCCTTGACGGCGCAGCCGTGAACCTCCTAGACAAATTGTCCATATAACATCTGATTCCGAGGGGCCACCTCGATGTGACGACTGAGCATCATGGTGATCTGATGCAAGCGGGCATTGATGGGCTTGGCGTGGCACTTGACGCCCGGGGACGGCACGTCCAGTGCAATCACTGGCTCTTCCGATTGCATTTGGTGCTGCGCGATCTTGTTCGTTGCAAAGGTCGGGCGCGCCCGGTCCGAAGACGCGCGCATGTCGACACGATACAATGCGCCGAGGCTGCCGCGACTGCACACAAATGGCTACAGCGTATCCACTTGATGCAAATGAGAAGAATGAATGGCGGTACTTGAAGCGCAATGATGTCGGGATCGAGTGGCGCATCGAGCGCTCGAAGGAACGACGCGTGGTCCCAGACGACGCCCGAGCCGTCGGCGCGGCGTGCGACGCAAATGTGGCCGTGGACGTTGCGGTCGTTGGCGCGTGCGATGCGCACGAAGCGCTCAACGAGCTCCGAGAGCTTCTTCTTGCGCAGCACTTCGCCGGTTTTGCACGTAAAGAACCAGTAACCTGGCTTTCGGTCGTGCAGAAACACCTGCCATCGAAAGGTAGGACATGTGGGACGAGGCAGTATGACGACGCACCGTGTCGATGATCCCCACGACCGCCTTGGGACCGCGCTGCCGCCAGAGCGACTCCATGCCCCAGATCCCGTCTTCGGTCTTCATGCTTCCGCGACCATGAACAGGATCAGTTACACGCTGTGGCTATTTTACTCCCGAGTGCGACAGGCAGCGCGGGGGTGTTGCTGAGTCGACCCAGTCATCTCAACGAGGCAGGATAGAATTTGGACTTATGTGTCCACCTGGCGAATGCACTCGGGCGTGTCGCGCGAGGCTTCTCGGCGCACCGTGGGTCCTCCCTCCTCTGTGATGCCACGTCATGAAACCGTTTTATGCCCCGGGGCACCGACTGTAGAAGACGAGAGCTGCTATGGTTAGAACCCCCACATAGCGCCATATAACTTCGTTTGCATACATTACACGATTACAAGCTCGACGCGACATGAGCGTGCCTATGCGTCGTCGCCGATGCCCCGGTGCACCTCGTACAAGTGGTCGTACACGTCGTCGGCGGTCGTGAACCCGGCACCACAGGCAAAGCACCAGTGCTGACCGCAGACGCACGTCATGTGGTTGCAGCCGCCCGTCTTCTCGGTCTCGACAAAGCACCCGGGGCACACGTTTCGCTCGCATCCTCCGTCGGCACACTCGGTGCAGCGGAACGTCGCGACGTCGGCCGGTGGCTCGACGGCGCAGTGGCGGTCGCCCATCTCTTTGACCTTGTAGCAGCCAAGGCACCAGCCATAGTACATGTCTGCGCGCCACGTCATTTTAGAGGCGACGAGCGCACAGGCCTGCCGGTTGTGTTTGCGGAGCACACCGAGCGTGGGCTGGCGACGGCAGAACGGACACCCGAGGGTGGACGGGAGCACCATCTTGCCCGGCTGCACGGCGCCGTACCACCGCGACAGGCACGGTTCGCAGCACTTGGTAGCGCAGCGTCCGCACGCCGAGTGGAGGGCGGCGAGCGAAACGTCTTCAAAGCAGAGGTTGCACGCGTCGCGAAGAGCATGTGTGAGCACGATACTGCGGACTTCATCGGTGAGCGCGTCGGCGCCGTGGGCGCGCTTCCCACGTACCCGAATGTCGGGTGTCGACGACGGCGAGTCGTCCGTTGCGCTCATGAGGTCGTTGTACTTGGTTGTAAAAACCTTGAGAAGCGAGATTTTGGGGTCCAACGCCATGGCCAGAAAGGCCGACGGCGACCGCGACCAACCAAAATGCTCGACGAGCGCCGCGTTCTCATTCAAAAAGGCTGAGAGAGTCGTGAGGGACGCTTCTGTGCTCCGGCTCGGCTCGGTGACGCACACGGGGCACGTCCAGCCACCACCGTTGGCGTCGTGGCACTGCTGCTTGTAGAGCCCCGCGGGATCCACGTAGCTGTTGAGACACGTATGGCACTCGATTTTGGGCGCTGGTGTCGACTGGTTCGTTCGGCAGTACCAGCACTTGGGGTGCGTCGCGAGCTGGTGCACTTGCAGTACTGCGTATACGCCATGGCAGTCGACGCATTCCACCAGGTGCGACGTGTCGCCAACCACGACCGTCTCGGCCTGGAGCCGCGGAGCGTCATCGCCGTACGTGACGCACATGGCGCACAGATCGGCCTCGACCATGAGCGAATAGCTCGTCTCGTATGTGCAGACGCGGCAGCGCGCCTTGGTGTCCGGCCACAGCTGCGTTTTGGTCGGTGAGAACCCGAGGGTGACGCCGACGTCCTTCGTCGCCGCGCGCCGGAGCCGGTGCACGAGGTACAGCTGCGTGTACACGGCCTGCTCGTTCTCGGTCAAGTAGGCCCGACCACGGTACAGGAGCTGGGTGAACTCGGGCGACACGATTTCGGGAAACTCAATCACGAGCTCGAACGGCAACCACGAGCCGCGGATCGATGCCAAGTACGCCTCCGCACGCGCTTTGAGCAGCACATGGTCCGAGAGAGAGCACAGAAGTGCAAGCACCGCGGCGCCGCGCCGGCTGAACGACGTCCCGGGGCACACGAGGTGCGGGAGGCACGCAAACACATCGTCGTTCGAGAGCGTCGACGGCAGGTACAATGGTGTGCCGTCCTCAGTCGCCAGATTGGCGGTCGCGTGCAGCTGCAGATGACTCAAAATCGACGTGACACTGGCCAAGGCGCTGGCGGTCGGCGCCCGTGCGAGCGACCGCAGGTGCTTGCTTGCGACAGTGGGTGCACCAGCCGCCATCACAAAGACGGACCCGATGGGCGCGGCGTCGACGAGTCCCTGGATGCGCGCCGAGTCGTCGTACGATGCGAGTAGCCATTCTTGCACGAGGGCCTTCCCGTCGGCCGGCAGCGCGTCCACGCAGCGCGAGAGCTGCGTCGTGAGGTCGTCCAAGCGCGGATCCAAGCGCTGGCGGCACGCGAGCCGCCACAGTTTGCCAAAAACCGGGTTGTACGTCACGGCAGCAATGTTTTCCGGTCGGAAAATCACCTCGAACGTCTTCATGACGAGGTTGCGGAAGCCAGCGTCGTGGGCGAAGAGCGGCAAGAGTGCATCGAGGCGCTCGGGCATGGCCGGGATCGACGCAAAGAGAAAAGGCATGCGAACTGGCGTCAGCGCGTCGTCGTCGACGAGGTCGTTCTCGGTCGGCACGGCCAGTGTCTCGTCGTAGGGCGTCGTCCCATGAAAGTACGACGTCCGTGCAAACTCGGGTATCGCGTCGACCTCTTCGTCCATGAGCTGGAGCAGCAGTCCGATCGTGGCTTTGGTAATCACTGTCGATGACAACGTCGGCAAGAGGACAACAGGACCCAGCAGTGCATAGAACGACGACGAGGCATGGGCGTTGGCGCCGTTGCGAAGTGGCGAGTGAAAGGTATACACGGGGATATTGGCCTCCCCCAGTGTCTTTTGGATACGGCACCAGTCGTGGCCTGCACGGTACGCCGGGTTGGCAGCAATAGCTGCATTCTCTTTGGCCATATTGTTGGACTGCGTCGTCGCGTGGTGCGGCGGTGCATCCGTGTAGAGAAAGACGACGGCGGACCCGGACGCCGCCTGAGCCCGCAGCTCGTCGACGGTCGCGACGACAAAGTTGAGAGCGGTTTTCACAGCCTCGGGCCAGTCACCGCCGCCCGTCGGCCGCAAGTCGTCGACGAACTTGACGATCGCGTCGTTGCGTCCTTGGCGTCGGCTCACGGACGAAAGCACTTGGTCGCCGTCGCAATAATCCTTGTACGACACGATGTGCACCTTGAGGCGGTCGTGGTACATGAGCTTGGCAAGTGCAAACACTTGGCGCAGCGAGGCTTTGAGCGCCGGAAGGTAGGTGCCCATGGACCCCGTGGTGTCGCAGACGAGGAAGAGGTCGAGTTCCGGCTTGTCGCCTGCGAGCTCTTGCCACGTCGGCGTCGTGATGTTGGTTTGCGTCATTCTCGGGCAATTGGGTTATGGTCGACTGTGTGCGACTTGCTTTGAAGCCACCTTCACTCAGTATTTGTCGTCAGAGAAAGACGCCTGTTGTTCTAGAAAGGATGCGATTGAAAGCAACGTGCACGTGGCGGGCTCCCTGCACAGTTGGCTTTGTGAGAGCGAGATGCCATTGGCCAATCGCTTGCGTTGGACCGAGCTTGCTCTGGCCAATAAGTCGAGAGAGCAGCTCGGTGCTGCCTCCGTCGTGAACTCCAGCCGACACTTCTCCCAGGCGTTCAACCATCATTCACCTCGAGAGTATCAAGCAATGGTGTGCGATGAGAAAAGTGTCCGAAACTTGTCATTCATGGGCAGTTTGTATTCATACAAACCGCCTATGAAGAAGGAAGATTCTCTCACTGAACAGAAGCCAAGCGGCCGACAGGGTACGCCGTGGCGGTAGTAGTTGACGAAGGAGGCGCTGTTGCAGCTGTCACGACGATATAGCAAGCACACCGCGACCTTGTTGCAGATCATATATATATATTTATTTGTGCACAAATATAAATGGGAAATAGAAGCATGGGCCAACGCCTGCAGGGCTTGAACCCTGCACCGCTTGCATCAACACAATATTGCACTTCGCTATGAATCGAGAAAACAATCTAGGACCAGCATTCGTGCCGTCCGATACAAACCGCTTATAAATGACGTGGCACGAGGACATGTCAAGATCGCGGGATACGCTCGCAAGAGTGATGGTCGAACGCTGGGTTTGCTCAATTGCAGAGAAAATAACCAGCTGGTCGATACCCCAAAGCTGTACTTCGGCGGCGTGTCGCATAGCTCGACTTGGTTGCTGGGACACCGGCAGCTAACGACAGACTGTACACGCACATGTCGCACGCAGCTGGGGCGGCGACAACATGTAGTCCTGCACGTCACGTGACGTTGCTCGTCTCGCCGCCGCATATGGTCGACACCGGTGCCAATTGGACCATGAAGTAGCATCTAGTAGTTTATAATAGATAAGATATTATAGTACTATATTAGGCGGCGCCGGCGCGCACAGCGGGCGGGTTGGCCGCGCGCTGAGGCATAAAATAGGGCGACGACTCGAGCGCGACGAGCTGGTGCGCGTCGTCGTCGTCGTCGTCACCGTCATGACGGTCTGCGTCACGGAGCATCTTTTCGACGTCGGCGAGCTTCTTGCGCGCCGGCGACGCCGAGCTCGACACGGTGGGCGAGTTGGAGAAGGCGCGGAAGCGGTCCATACGGTCCAGCGCGGGGTGCGCGTGGGGCACGACGTTCCACTGCACCGCCGGCAGCGATAAGAAATTGCGGACGCGCGGTTCGGCGGCCATCGAGATGGTCTGGTCCAGCATCCCCGTGAAGGAGAGGCCCAGCACAGCATTGAGAAACTGCTGCAGGCGGACGGACCGGTGCTCGACAAACCGAACGTCCGTGGACGCAAAGAGCGTCTTGGGCGGGAGGAGGGCGACGACGGGGAGCGCGGTCTTGGCCTCGAGATGCGTTGCGAGGGCGTGAAAGTCACTGTACCGGTGCGCCACCGACGTCGACCCGGGCGTGTCGTATGCATCATGGTACAGGACCGTCAGCGTGTACTGGACAGCATTTGTCACGTGGATGTGGGAGACTTGGACGGTAAACGCGCCGGGTTTGGCCCGCTTGCGCCACTCGTGCGGCGGGACGTAGAGCGTGCACGACGGCGGCGGCAGCAGCGTCATGGGCGGCGGCACAGACTTGTTCGGCAGCGCCAACGCCGACGCCGACGGCTTGAGCATGTCCATGAGCCACTCGGTGGGCAGGCCGAGCCGATCGCGCGACTCGAGGCGGCCGTCGCACGAGTTGGAGCCGGTCGGCGTCGGCCCAGCGCCAGCACCCCATGAAAGCTCCAAGAAGAGCCGGACGCGCATGTCCTGCGGCACAGGCTCCTTGAGCGGCACGAGGCGGTCGACACCGAGGTGTGAGATGCTGAGAATGTACGAGAGCACTTCGACGACGGCTTCAGCGCGGGCTTCAAGCGAATTCGTCTTGGAGAGCTTGTGCTTGAACATGGCAGCGACGTTGTGGCCTGGCAGGCGGAAGGCCATATTGTGGACAAACGCCTTGATGTCGGCCTCCGTCTTGCGCACGAGGGCGACGTGCTGGACTTTTTCGGTCTTGACCCACGCGTTGGACCAGTGGCACGCCGCCGAGAACGCATCGCAGAGCCGCGGGTGCACGACGTACTTGTTGTAGTGGTTCGCATACGTTGGCTGCGAGTAGGGCGGTGTCGGCGCATGACGCAATACCTTTTGCGGCTCGTCCTTGGGCTTGGCGAGGCTCACGATCGCGAGCGTGTACGCGTACCGCCCTTTAGCCGACGGCTTGGCCTCGTACGCCTTGAGCGTAAAGTCCGAGGGCGATGCAAACGCGGACGACCAGTTTTGCGGCTGGCAAAACGTTTCGCAAGGCCCACGCGTCGCGTCGGGGAGGCTCGCGACGTCGAGGTCGAGCCAGAACGGCGACGTGCCCGTGCTGCGGCGAGGCTGTTGCAGGCTCGCGCGGTACAGGTCGCGCGCGCTCGGCGCCTCTGCGAACGGCGCGCGGCAGCTCAAGTTGAGTGTCTGGTAGCCAAAGTCGCGGCGCGACGGCGAGCTCGGGCCAAGAAGGCTGTCCATGCGTGGCGAGTCGCACGCGTCGTCTCGGCACGCGACGCAGCGCGAGAGTAGCAGCATGATGATGAAGATGAGGTAAGATGAGGTAGATGAAGGCTCAGCGCGGACGAGGACAACCCCAGGACTCGTCGGAGGCCGCGGCGAGGGCGCGGCGACGGGCGATGGTGGCGGTGGATGGAAGAATGACCGGCAGCTCCAAAACCGATGATATCCAAACAAAGCCGCGGCTTCAACTTTGTATGGCTGGTCATTTTATTTTAATTTCGGCGTCCGACGTGCGTAATGTATCGGAGCAGCAGCTGGAACATTGCAGCTGCCGAATTTAATTGCACGCACCAGGTGGCCGATATTCCGGCGTATTGTCGAAAATTACCGTCAATATGGAAAATTGCCCATACAAATCGCACGTCCCCTTTCCAAAACGACGGCAAGGCACTTCAAAAACACGCTACG